ACTGTGAAAATTTAGAAAACCTTCTGGATTGTTCCGGCAGCTTCGGTTGTAGTTGTGCAATCGGAAGACATAAGCCGTCATGTGCCTATTATGTACGTGTTACTCACATAACAGCGAAGTGTGATAAATGTACAGTTTGCGTAGTAACGGCATAATGGAAAATCGATTTCCTTTCAACTATAGACCAATTACTGCATTTTTTCCCTCAATTGATCTGGACAAAAAAATATGAGCGAACATTTTTTAAATCGGTTCAATCAATCAAAACGGACAATTTATTCAATTCAAATCTATTTTTCAATATTTCATTATTTATTTAACAATGCGTAATAATAATATAACAATAATAATAATAATAATGATAATATGTTTAATATTTATTTATTTGAAATTTTTTTGATTATCTTTTATTTTATTAATTACAGACGAAGTGAACAATTTACTGTAATAAAAAAATTTTTAATGAAAATATATATATAAAAAATTGACGAACTTGTCGATTTCACAGATGATGATAAAATCTCCGTGTTTACCTCCAATATTTGTCGAATGATTCAACAATAGCGCGAGATTTCAATAAACGAAAATATATTCGTCAAATATTTGAGATGCCAATCTTTCCCGGGGAAGGGGTAGGGAGATAAAAAATATGTGGTTGCTCTATTATTCGACGCACTGTAATCCCGCAATGATCTATTAATTCTGAAGGGTGAGGACGTGCGATATTGGAGGAATCCCTTCAATTTTTATTCTCTCTCTTGATTATAATCTATAATGCATGACGAAACACAGCTGGAGAGGAAATGGGGATAATTATGGGGTTCATTAGAATCTTCCGCAGTTAGTGATGACAACTCAAGGCAGAGACATACATTTGAGACATTATTAAATTAAATTATTGAATGAAATTGAATTAAATATCAAATTTCTCGTTTAACTCTCAGATTAAATGATAACGTGATAATATAATTTCATATTTTAATGGATATTTTAATGGATATCAGATTTAATTAACTTGCGGGAGATGTCAATTTTTATAGACTAGTTGAAATTGACAGCTTCTCGCTTTTTTTAATTTTTAATTTGTTGATTCATTTACGCAAACCATTGAAGTGACGGTGGAATGATAAACGATGGAAATTAGAAAAGTGATGGTATTGTCTCAGACGTTCTTTCCATCGATTCCAGAATGATTGACAGGGTGCAAAGTAAATGATGTCAAGATGTGTGGCCTTTCGGGGGACATGACCTCGGTAATGTAACCAAAAAAAATAGAGACAAGGGCAACACATTTGAGACATTGCGCCAATTCTTAGTGGACGATCAACATCTCAAATATCAGTGCCTCTATTTCTAGTGAGAGATGAAATTCTGTGTAATATCGATGCTATTTTATTTCACTTGCATAAATCCCCTCGATGGATTGGACGTGATTGATTATGGATCACTTATCGAAAATATTTATGATACTTATGGTACTGCTGGGATTATTATAGCATCCAGTGCGAATTATCAATGTGAGTAGAAAGATAGCTTAAAAATTGTTCAATTCAGAAGAATAGGATGCAGTGATTCGGGGGCAATTTGAAAAGCATAAATAATTTTAATGAATATTCAAAAATGCGAGGTGGCTGACAGGTGTGACTGCCGCCATCTTGCTTGGACCCAACATCTGCCGCACGGGGTTTTCGAAATGGCGGTCCTCCCATCTCGTGATTTTGAACGCTTATTAAAATAATATTTCCCATTCAAATTACGCTCAGCTGGTTTTATTCTACTCCTGTAAAATGAGTAAATTTTTTTAGCAATTTTGAGAAGTTATTGTTAATATCTTCTCATTTTTCAAATGAATGAATTATAGCGTTTTCGAGGCTGACTGTCTGGCACAGAATAACTAAAATGATGTCTGAAAAAAGGATAGCAATGGGTCTGGTGAACTTCGAACAATTCAAATCTCGATTGGAGTTCTACAATAGCAGAACTGTGCGGCCACTCGTTGTCGCGCTCTTCAGTAAAATGGAGGCAATCAATAACTTCGGGGAACTCGCAGCACATATAGACATGAGTTATCCTGTCTGGTTATTTCTGTTCACCAGTGAAGGGAATTCTGACATTTGCAAGTTCTGTCGTAATCCATACCGGAACTTACTGAATCTCAGATTCAATTCCGAGGCACTCGTCTCGTGCTGCAGTTCCGGGATTATTGACGAGTGGTGGTCGAAAACGACGAACCACACGAACACCAGGGAACTCGGTAAGTGGAACCAAGAGCGGAGGAAAATCGAGTGGTTCACCGAGAGTTC